AGCTAATTCTTAATAAGTCACAATAATAATCCTTATCCTTAAGACAATAATCCTTAATAAATCACAATATGGTTTCAGGAAAGGTTTTGCTGGACCTCTGCTGATGAAGTCATTCATGATATTCTTGGAAATTTGGAAGCAATCACAAAAGCAGGAGGTAAATTTATTGAACAAAGATTGATTCAAAGACTTGCCTGCTAATACTGCTATCAAAGCTACACTGGTTTCAAAATAGTGTACCGAAATTTTCTGGCATTCTGAAAATTGATTATTTAAAGTTAAATTTTTACATGGTTACCACATGAGTGACACAAGGTCAGTGTTAGGACCATTGCTATTTTTGATACACTATTTTAATGATCCAATCCATAATTTCCAAGATCCTCAGTAATTTCTTATACAGATATGATTTTAATAAGTACTGGGCCCAACATTAGAAACCTAGAAACTAATCTGATAGAATCTTTAAATGCACTATAAAGCTTATTATAATTAAATTAATGAAAATTTAATGTTGACAAAATTGTGTTATTTAAGTATAAACTTCATCATAATTACCTTTCACCATAATTACTATCATAATTTTTTAGGAATATTCATTGATCTAAATCTATTTACAATAAACATATGGATACCACCTAGAAGAAATAAACTCCAAAACATTCCTCTTTTAAGATACATTTGCAGATACTTCTAAACTAGAGCATTTCGATCAGTCTGTTATGGCAAAATCTACTCAGACCAAAAATATGTATTGAAATATTGGCCGGTACAATAAAAAAATATTAATTGATTAATGGTCCTACAAAGAAAGTGTCTCAGAAGCATATTTCAAATTAAACCAAGATAGACTTGTAAAGACTACATTACATATAAAAAATTGGCTGTTGCAAAACTCTATGTTTACAAATTATTGGTATTATGAAGAAACAATAAAAATCAATATTTGGTTAGTAACAAAGATATACCTAACCATCATAATTAAGGACATAGTAACTATCACAGGGCACACACTAGCATGTCCTCTACTATCAAAGATTCATGCTGCATTGCAACACAGTCTTTCAATAAGCTACCATTTAACATAAAAGCAGCTGATAACCATTCCTTCAAAAAAGTGTGACATTATTACTATTCATTCTTGGGTTGCTGTAATGAACAAGGTTATTGGGATTCTATAATTAATTTTCTAGGTACCATTGCAAGAAGTATTATTTACACCCTCATGACGTATCACTTAAATTCCAATTGTTTAAAAAAAAATTGTTATTATTACTAAATGTATTCAATTGATGTAATGCTTAATGCAAGTCATTACAACTTTATATTCCTAATATTTAACTCTTTAGTCTGGGCGAGCGTTTTGGATTTGTCCCACCCTCATTTCTGCTACCTATTTTCTGTTTTTCAGACCCCTAATAGTAGAACTGAAATATTAATTTAAGAATATTACACAAGAGTAAAACATGGTCCTATATGCAAATTTTCATTGAAAATTTTTGAGCCGTTCTTGACCAAATGTCGTTGAGCATTTGCAAAAATGCATGTTTTTAGAGCTCATTTTCACAGAAAACATTCAACTTTTCAGGCAAGGTAAGAAATACTTTTAAACACTTTTACTCTCAAATGCAATGATGAATAAAAATCATTGGCAGTGTAAACATTAATGATGTGAGAGTGATTTCCAAAACATTACACTTCTGTAATTTTTAAAAAAATCAAAAGATCACATATAAATGGTGTTTATGTATTTATCACTATCAGAACAAACAGAAAAAAATTGAAGACATTTTTGATAGAATCAGGTTTTTAAAAATGCCCATATTTCATTCAAATACTCATGAAAGCAACTAAATATTGTCAAGAAATGTTTGTGACTTTAATACAAGAACAAAACACGGAGGACAAATTTTTTTGGAAGAAAAAATCAGTATTTACAATTTTGTAGTTGTAGGAAGACATCAAAAAAATTTCAAATGTTTGTAATTTTTAGAAATTTAGTTAACATATTTGGTTTTATGCCATAAGTGTACTTCACTCTATTCTTACAAAAGAATTTAAAGAAAAAAATTGCAGCTATTTTTGAGAAAATTTTGAAAATGTCCCAAGGACTTCCAAGTAAAGTATCCTCAAAATTTAAAGAATGTCCTTCAAAACTGCAGGGCTTAGAGACAGTGCAAATTTACCCTTCACATTGACAAAATTATTGATTGACTGAAAGCTATTGAGTGATAAGCAAAATATTAAGTTTTAATACCTGAATTAGAATCAGAAAGACCAAACAGTTCCAGTTACGCAGTAACAGAAGCAAAAGAAATATGAAAGCTTAACCTAAAGGCTCTTCTAAAAGAAGAAAGGAGGAGACAGAAGCAGATATTTGATGAAAAGGACAAGAGCAAAGATAAACTAGTTCATTCTTAGGAGAAAAAAGATTTAGATTATTGATTACAAAAATAATACATTAGATTCTGAAAGAAGTAAGGCAAAGGTTTCAAGTCATTTAAAACATGAGTATTTTATTTGGCTCCCCCAAAAAGAGCTGGGTTTGAGACAAGCTATCACATATAAAGAAGACTTTGACAAGGACACACGCAACAGAAGCAGGTAGTTAAGAATCTAGCTTTGGATGAAACCCCTAGTATAATTGCTAACCATCTGTTCTTGTGAGTTAATATACAAGAACAGACTTCAAGATGTGTGCCCAAACACAATGAGAGCTTAAAAAATTGTTCATGATACCAATTGCAGTTGCCTTAAATTAAATGTGTTTTAGCAAATTGAAGATCATAAAACCTAAACCCCAGACCATAATGACTAAACAATCTGAGTATCAAATCTACTGACAACAATTTAGCTTCAAAGCAATCTTTTGAGAACATTGCAAACCTTATTGCATGCAAAAAAGCTTGAAAGTTGTTTTGGTTTAACCTCTGCTTTTAAATTATTTTTCACATTTTGTACACAGATTAAGAGACTTGCAAAGAATCTAAGTGACAATTATTCAAAGTTAAAACTGACCTTCCTAATATTGCTACTATTTACAATAATTAAATGCACTCTTCTAAAGAAACAGTCTACTGATTCATCCTACCATACATACGAATATTCACATTCTGGTCTTATTTTCATAAACTTTTTTATTTCATATGCAAAGAGTGTGGTAAGTGTGAAATGAAGTAACAAACATGTTACATGTTTATGATTATGTCAATTAAAATATATTAGAATTATTTTGTTATTTACACTTGTACTTAAATTAAAAGAACTAAATTTAATCTCTTTTCTTTCAAATAAAGCATTTACACCCCTCACCCCTCTTAAGTTCTCTTTCCTTGGTGAAAACTAATTTAGATACATCCCTAATTCTACATTTACAGAAAAAACATTTACTGTGACATTTCCACGCAGCAGTATCAAAATCAATTGCACACATCCAGTACAGCTATCATTGCCTCTTAATATTGATTTCCAACATCCATCCAAAATTTGCTGAGTTGTCATTCATTTCTTTTAAATGCTTTTGAACATTTTGAATGCCATTAACCGCAAACATATTCATACTCTCAAATAATGCATAATTTCATTAGCTCCATTGGCCATTTCCACATTCACCACCCATCTTATTCTACAAAATATTTTTTGAAATACACTTGATTTTGTGTAATTCATATATTAAATACTTCGTGTCAGGGGATTTCAACAGGTAATACAATGCTCTAAGAAATAGTGTTTTACAATTTAGTGCTCAATATTCACATTTTGAATGTGACATGAAGGCCACCAGTTCCAATATTTAAAAGTTCTAAACCATAATAAAACTCTTTTAAGTGCATGGTACATGGTTTCATCAAATGTTAATTTAAAATTTTTAAAATAACATTTGGTGTCTAAGAGACCAATCAAGAATGCATTCCAATTTGGGAAATTCAAATGCCTTTCTAATAGTTAGTACTTAATTACTGGCACATATATTTTAACGAAAAATGGTAAAAAAATCAGGTCGAAATCACTGACTTTCTTGAATCCTAAAGTTGTATGTGAAGATCCATTCTCATCGATAATACAATGTTTAAACTTTCACCATACTCAAGGCAACATTCTTACAATTCTAAGAAACAATTCTATTTCAATATATATCAAAGACTACTATCTAGATATAATGCATAATAATATTCCAAGAGCTGTCTCAATAATTTCATTGGAAGATAGATTTAAAAACATCAATAGTGATACATTAATATTCCTACACTTACCAAATTTTGAAAACAAATATCCCATAGAATAACTCTAAAAAATTATTATAAAAAACGATTATTTTCACAAATTCATATTAATAAAGACTCCTAGTTCCAAGACAGACAGGAATATCATTCATTGTATTACCATCATACATTTTTTATAATATATACAATTATATTTATTTACCATTATATTTTATTTATTTTATAGATTTATTTTTGTAGATTTTCGATGAATTATGATTATCAGTATTTTAACTTTGAAATGAAGACCAGGTACCATATTATTTTTCTAGTAAAATTCTGATGTTGAAGGAAAGGCTAGAATTATGAATTTCTTCCACAGAGAAATAAAAATAAATCTGTTTATTCTCTATTTTATTAACTCAAGGTTTCTATTAAAAAAAATTTCACTGTAATGTATATCTCATTTATATTTGCATACAGTAAAATAATTTAAAGTGAATCATTTGATTCATTTTCAACAAAAAATTTGAATCATCATTTTATGAGGAACTTTCCTATTTGAAAAACAATGATCAATTCACATTCTGAAACACACGTACAAAATTCTTGTTAATAATGCAATATAGTTCACTGTCAGTACAAAATGCACTTGATCACCATTCAACTGATCATACAACAAAAGATTATACGAGGTAAATTTTTGAAAATATCTTTTAAAGAGAGGAATGAAGCACTCCGCAAAAAATGTTCAGTCATCGGCTTCTTATTTCTCACATAAGTAATTTATTAGGACATCTAGCGTCTTTCTCGAGGTTTTTCTCTGAATTTTCCTCCATCATGAGAACCTTTAGGATCTCGACCAGCTTCACGTCTTCGTTTTGTAATAGGATTCCTTGGATCATATATTTCAAACCAGTCATCATCTTTAGTGCTAGCATCTTTTGCAAGAACTGGATCTCCTTTATCAAACTGCAACTTGTGTGTCATCCATCCCGAGTCTTCATCATTTGGGTCTTCTTTCAATTTTTGTTCTACAGCCTTCTCAGGATCCTCCTCATCTGCTTCTACAGACTCCTTGGCTGAGGCCAGTTTTTTTTGAAATTTTGCTAGAAGTTGTAGAGTGAAGTCCTCACGACTTGCTCCCTTCTTGGGTATTTCTTTCTGCATATTTCGATATTTTTCTCTTTGGGCTTCGAATTCGTTCACAATTTCTGAGTCTTTTTTCTTTTGGTCCTTGTTACTATCAGACTGGTCATGTGAAGAACTTGCATCATTGTCTTTGTTTTGTACTTTGCGAAGCTGAGCACGTAAAGCTTTATATTCCTCACGAAGTCGCTTCAGTTGTTCTGCTTGAGTCTCATGAACAGGACTAGAATCTTCAGGTACTTCTTCCTTCTCACTGACTTTATCATGATCTTCATTTTTCTTAACTTTGTGACTTTCCGATGAGGGTTTACTATCAATTTTCTTTTGCAGTTTATTGCGAATATTATTTGTGTCAACAGGTGGGATTGGGCCAATAGGTTCATCTTCATCTCCGCTCAATGCTTCTTCATCTGTACCCACTGCTGGAGCTGAAGACAACAGTGGGTCACTAAGCACATCATGTGCTGACTTACTAGACCGTCCGGCAGCTAAACGTTTGCTTACTTCTTCACATTCTGCTTCATCATCTTCTGCCTCACTTCCAAATGACAACAATTTGAAGTCCTTGACAGCAGCACGTTTGTCTTTTTTCTTCTGTTTCCTAGCTTTCGCTTCATCCTCAGCAGACTTGGCAGGTATTCTAAGTTCAATATCAGGGAAGGGGTTCGACAATACTTCGGTACTTATTATCTTGTAAGGATATAATGGCCTTTCATCATGATCCACCAAACCTTCTGCTAATTTAAGCATATTGTACACAGTATCACCTGCAACTTTTCCAAAGATTGTGTGTTTGTTTTGCAACTCTGGTGCAGGACCAAGAGTAAAGAAAAACTGGGAACCATTATCATCCTTACCAGCATTAGCCATAGCCAATAAGCCCCTTCGGTTGAAACGTAAACGTGTATGGAATTCATCTTTGAAGGGAGCACCATAAATTGATTCCCCACCTTCTCCAGTACCAGTTGGATCGCCACCTTGTACTATAAAGCCTTTCACAAGGCGATGAAATATGGTGTCATTGTAATATCCTTCCAAACATAACTGTATGAAATTACGACAGGCACGTGGTGCTTCTCGGGACCACAGCTCCACATCAATGTCACCTACAGTGGTATGCATTAACACTTTTCCCAAAGTAGGAGGCTCTTGGATGTATATGTTACTCATGATGATAAGGTGTTCAACAAACTGAATCAAATTTATCACACACAAGTAAGAAATACTCTCCTCGTTATAAATACAAAGTCCAACATTTTTTTGGTGATTTGGTCTCTCAAGGAAAAGTTAATTTGCTTTTAGTATAATGTCTCGAGTTCAGGATACTTTGTTTATAATTCATTCATAATGTGGCAAAAAATATCTTGAAATATTTGCAACATGCTCAGTGAATTCCAGATGTACTTTTATTAAGAGCAGCCATTTGTTCCAAACAACATAACCTCTTTCATCAATATAACACCTGCTCTCGCGAACTATGCAAACTTCTATGACGTCAGACACACATCATTTGCATATATTATGTACGTGTATTAGCATATATCATGTCCATGAAGACCAAAAATACAGATACCAATTGCAGTAATAACAATAATTAACAAATGAACAAAACCACAAAGGGAACAAAACACAGGATCGAGTCTACCAACATCTGGAACGTACATTTACAGATTTAACAATAATTTTTAGGTATTTTATCCTTTAGTTTGAAGGTATGAAGCAATTCAAATAATACTTTTCCAACACTGATCTCTGTATATTCGTTGACTCTTGTAATCATTATAATATAATTGCCGCGAAAATTATCGTTTGTGAATGTCCGTTCAAAATTGGCGTCATTGGCGTACTGCTGTTGACCTCCAAAGCAGAGAGTTTTCAGCTGGTTTACAGTCTTAGAAGAGAGCTTTAATAACAACGAGTTAGCGATACAGAGAGTTAGAGATACAACGAGTTAGGGATATCTCTAACTCGTTGTTTAATAATGATGCAAATTCGCACATATCGTGCAATTCGTTTTTGACTGCGTTTGGTGCACTTTATTATGTGATAATGCCCACACTGTCTTTCACAAAGAGTGCTTGAAACTTCAAATGTACTGTAGCGCATAAGCGCCGTTTTCTCAAATACGGCTCCAATTTTTTCATACAAAATCGCCATTTAGGACGAAATTTTAATGTTCTTTAATATACTTAAAATAACATTTACATTATAATATTAACATTTGAGTAATTTTTGGAAAAGACAATATACAGCAAAATGGCGTTTATGCGACTCATACAATACAGTTACTTCAGTACCTCCTAGATAGTAGATGATTTAGGTGGCATTGGTTACTACCATCCCTACCAAACGTTTAAAGGAAAATTTTTTGTCTTTATAAATTTTTATTGATGAACTATTTCACTAAAATTTGCTAGAAAACTAAAATTTTCAAAATATGTAAATGGCAATTATAAAAGAATTAATTGTGGATAACAAATTTCATGTGAAATTTTATCTCGCGTTTTTTTAAACTTTTGTTTTTATTTATCATTAACTTTCACTCATTTTCCAACTATAGTTAAAATGAGAAGCTATTCTGGAACTCAAAAAAACCTGTGCAGATGATCTTCCCCATACGTCTCTTACAGTTTTTAATGTCTGTTGACTAAATACATCTAAATCTAAAGAAAAATCTGGATTTTCAACATTGTAGCTGGAGTACGTCGAAAAAAATTCAAACTTTTCGAAATTTCAGAGCTATCAGTGAAAATTGGAACTACACCTTCATATTGCACAGTATTCTTACAAGAAATTTAAAGAAACCAGAAGAGCTACAATAGAACATACTTTCTCGAACATCATTTCTCTGGAAATAGTTTCATAATATTGTAATATCTAATTGTTTTTCTAGTAAGAAGAAAATGTAATTTCTGCCAAACTAAAAACTCAATTATAAATTGAAGTCCAGTTCACCAATTCAAACAAAACGCCTTTGGTGCATATCTGCATTTATTTTGATAGGCAGGAACAGTAGACATTTCTAACTTTACAAATGAAATAAACATGAATAAATTAAATTGTTAGTTTTATGCAGCACATTACACAGAAAAAAAAGAATAATGTTTCACACAAGTGTCCCTTGATTACATTGAAGTGATCAACTATTTCTGAATGCCATAATCAGCAGCAAGAAATATATTTATTAGTTCTATGGTAAATATGTTACGTTCCTCAAAATCTATTTCTTTTTGTTAGAATATACTATCATCACAACCGGAGACAATAAAAAAGCATAATTTGAAAGTTTTGTTGCTATTTTGCGAATAGAGCGCGGGAAATTCGAATTTTTTTCAATTTTAATTTTCAAGTTAAAAAAACATATCGTAGGTAATATCCCCGACTCGCGAAGCGAGGAGGGGATTTATCTGACAATTTCCAGAGCACGTGAGGTATTTAACAACACAGGAATAAAACTACGTCCAACTAACGCCATATTGAAATAAATAGAACTAATTTTCTCGACGGCATTGATCTGAAAGAGTTCCAACATGCGCCAAAAATTAAAAATAACAAAAAGCATGTTAAAATCAGAGAGGTTATGTTTTATACACGTGGTTTATTGCACATCAACGCAGAGATATCCGCATACCGCCTCCTTAGACAAGTCCCAGCTTATTATTGGCAAGTAAGGAGGGACAGTAAGAAAAATATGATAGAGAAACTGAATTATTATTAGATATACCGCCCTGATTGGGTCATTTATTATGTATAATTTAATACTATTGTTTTCAATTTCACGAGCGGAAATAGTGTTCATAATACTAACAAGATGCCGTAAAAATTTTACACATTTCGAAAAATCCGAGATTTCAACGAATATGAGACCTGCAACATTTTCTTAACCATCTTTAATTATCCGGCAACAAGATTTAATAAAAAATACTAGTGGTGCTAGAACAGCAAGTACTTTCTCGCCCCCTTAGAATCGGTTATGCAATACCATTTATACCACAATTTCTCTCCGAAATAACACATTTCAGTAATTTGTTAGAAAACTCATTAAAATTAGTAAAAAATTTAGTGCGAAAATTAAATATTTTTAAGCAAATATCAACACACATTGACAATTATAACTCCTTTTTATACATTTAAATCATACAAAACCAATGAGACGTAATTCACAGAAATTCGCGAGCGCGGAATGTCATTGCTGCATTTTAATTTGGTTTTTCGTTAATGCTAACATTTTATTCCATTTATTTTACATAGATTTTAAAAAATCTCAAATTTTAATTTGTTAACGTATAACAAAAGCTTCAATGTAAGAAACGAACAAAGAAATATGAAATAATATACACATTCTAACTTACGTAGCATTCAACTGCCTCAAAACACATCTAAAATTACGTTTATGAAGGGCAGTAAATTCAGAGCGGGCTAATTTGTTTGTAGCCAAATTACACAAAAAATAATTATATTTTCAAAAAATTCATCATGATCTTCGAATAAGATTTGTATGGACACATTTGATTGCAAAAAAAATCGTATCTTCACATTTGGCGTAGTTACAGTTAGTTGTAGAAAGACGCCGAATTTTTTAAATTATCGTAAAATCAGGCACTTTAACGAACACGAGACCTGCACCATTCTCTTCAGCGTCTTTTACGTAAGCTAAGATCTAAATTTATTCAAAACATTTTGTGCAATTTTTAAGAAAAAAATGGTTTAAAAAATACAAATCGTCAATGTTTGACACAAAATTTCGCTTTTGAAAAATTGAATGACTTTTTTTGAAGATGTTTTTGAATACATTTCATTTTTAAAAAAAGTATCTTCATAATTGTAGTTGTAGGGAGACACCGAAAAAGTGATACTTTTTTCAATTTTCGAAAAATTGGGTTTCAACAAACATGAGACGTTCACCATTCTCTTTGGGCTATACACCAACAAAATTTGATCAAAATCGATGAAGCCGTTTTTGAGAAAACAACTGTTTAAACAAAAGTTTAAAATTTCCAAAATTTTACGTAAATTTAAGCGAAAACACTATTTTTTTTTCGAAAAATAGTACATGAAGTTATTTCAAAATATTTGTTTAAGGAACAGATTTTAATAATGAAAAAATCTCAACCTTTAATATTTTAGTTGTAGGAAGACACCGAAAAAGAAATTTTAATTTTTTTAAATTTTCGAAACATCGGTTTTGAACGAAAATGAGGTCTGCCACATTCTTTTAAACGTCCTTTATACTATCCAACAACAAAATGTAACTAAAAACGATGGATCTATTTTTTGAAAAGAATCCAGAGGTTTCATGTGAAGTACCACCCTAAAAAAATAAACATAGCGATTTCAAATTCAAGGGACCGTGACACCAGCCGTATCGAACGAGAAATATCAATTTTGGAGAAAATCTGCTGAATGGCCACTAGCGTTGTTCACAGGCGAATGGACGGACGTTTTGCCATCAATCGACTTTTCGGTGTGAGGAACCCACAAAACAAGGATTCTGGCTACACCACGTGTTAGAAGATTTTTTCTACATAGAGCATCTGTATTTATCCACTTTCTTGGGCAGAATGTCTGCAGGGTTCCACTAGTAATAAAATGAAATTCTTACGTACGTAGCATACAACTGCGTAAATTGGGAGCGGGCGACTGAAGGCTAGTAATACTTATATCAAAGTGGTTTTAAATAATTTTTAACATATTAATTTGTAAACGTATAACAAAAGCTCCAATGTAAGAAACGAACAAAGAAATATGAAATAATATTGTAGCGTCACGGTTTGGCAGCAGCCGAGTGCAAGGTAGAGGGCTGGGGGATCTAAAGATAGACGCCCAAACAAAGACGGGACTTTCCCGACAGGAAATGGTCCGTGGGCCAGGCAGCGCCAGGGAAAGGCTTTCCACCGCGCGGGGGTGGGGAGTAGTGACGTAGGAGGTCAGGTGACCTGGACCTATAAAGACGCCGTGGCGAGACGGCGCGGGTGGGTAACGATTTTGGTTTCCTCGTGGCTAGACCACAAAAACTTTGTCCGCCCAGGCTGGTGCGGAGTGCCGAGGGCACGTGGGTGTTCGACGAGTTCGGACAGGGTGATGTGTTCTTCAAACACATTCGGGCAGATCGTCAATCTGCCGGGGCACACCAGGTGTCTATCTGCGACGCGGCCTTGCAGGCTGGTCGTAGGCGTCGCCGCAAGGCGCACGTAGGGAGAGGAGGGCTGCAGTGGTAGCTCTGGCAAACCGCCTTAGAGTGAGGGATGTAAATATGTACAGTGTGTAAATAAAACTTGTATATACTCACTCGTGTCTGTTTCCTTGTGGTGTAGATCCCTACACACGACGTTACAATATTCACAATCTAACTTACGTAACAACCAACTGCCTCAAAAAACATCTAAAATTACGATCGAGTGGCACAGGATTTTCAAAGCGGTCGACTTTGACGCCCGATTACTAACAAAAAAAATATCACATTTTCAAAACTTCTAGCTCTTTGACGAACAGATTTCATTACGAAAAAAATTTAATTTTAGGAAGGCACCGTAAAAATTTTTGATTCTTTTCAAATTTCAAAAAAATAGTTTTTATCGAAAATAAGTCCTGCACCATTCTCTTAAATATTATCCAACAACAAAATTTAATAAAAACAATGGACCAATTTTTTTTTAAAAAGTCCCAGGCGCTTCATGTAATGTACCCCCAAAATTAAAATATCAGTTTCAAATTCAATGGCCCTCACATCAGCTAGATATATCAGAGAATATCAATTTTTGAAAAAAAACTCTGAAATTTTATTTCCAGACGGAGAGATATTTTGCTGTCGATTTTTCGATATCAAGGACTAACAAAACATGGATTCTGGCTACACTACGCATTAGAGGATTTTCGTTTTCTAAATTTGAGAACTGGATTTATCAGTTTTTTTTGTTACCAGTGCCCTGTAATAAGTTTTTGTGTTGAAAATTCTCCATTTTCCAAACCATTGCAATACTTTCTTCATACTGCATAAGTAGTAGCAAGAAAACAAAAATTGAGAAACTTTTTAAAAAAATGGAAAATATTCTAGGGGCTTCATATAAAGCAATTCTCAAAGTTTAAAGGCTTTTCAAAATTCGCAGAACTTTGCAACAGGCCAGATCGACCAGAGGATAGTAATATTCAAAAGAATTTGTTCACAGATGAACATACATTTTTGCCATACAGAACAAGATTTATTCGTTTTTTTCTGAATCAAGGTCCTAACATATGAACTTTTCTGTTGTTGTTGTTGTTGTTTTTTTTTTTTTTTTTTTTTTTTTTTTTTTTTTTTTTTTTTTTTTTTTTTTTTGCTGCAGCACAACCAAACTTTCTCTATACTATATATATAGTACTCCATATACACTACATATGTATACAATAAATTGAAAAATCATTATCTTTAATAATGTAGTCACCATTGCAGTAAGTGTAGCAGAATTAGTGGGTCCAAAAACGTTAACTTTTGCAATAATTGTCAAAATCTCAAAGGACTGAATGAAAATTCCAGCACCATTTTTATGAAAATCAACTGTTTTATTTAAGTAGAATTTAATTTAATTTTTGAGAAAGTTTTGAATACATCTAATAATTTGTGTAAATTACTACCCAAATGAAAAAACATTTTTAAATTCAAGGTGCTGCAAACCAACACACAGATCATTCTTGGAATATCTATTTTCTGTGAAAATATTAAGAATAGGTTTGGCATTAGCTTTGTTCATAAACAATTCAGGAGGGGAAAAAATGTATTTCCTTAAAAAATTATACATTGTGTTTTTGCAGAAATCCAATTCTTTCAGCCTGCAATACAATGACAAAATAGAAATCATACACTTTATTTTAGCTGAGTTAAAGGCAATGTACAATAAAAATAGGTACTGAAAACTGAAGCATTGAAGTCCTTATAGAATTACAAGTCCCAATACTATCCTCCTTGTATATTATACAATATCACATAAATGAGCACTTCTTATTTCTTCAGAAAACACATATTCATTAATGCAAGTAATCCAGATAAAATAAATTCTAAAAATCTTCACAATGGCAAAGCTAATGAATAGCTCTCAATGCATGATGCTTCTGCTCACAAAAATTAACAAATTTCTAATAATATACTCTGTAACTAAAATAAAGTTTTTCCAATTTTATAATTAAACAAAAAATTACTTCCCAACCGAGTATGGTATAGATCATCACACATTTTCTATATTAATAATTTTGTTCATTTTCTTTTGGTGGCAGACTAAATGTTGCTTTGAAATACATTTGTGCCTCAAAAATCAGGAGCAGTTATAATTCGCTTTTTTGTCTCAAGCATTTGTTCTGCCTTACTGCTCTTAGCTAGACCCAAACGAGGCAATCCTCTGTTGAGTCCTTCTAGAAGTGTGCAGGCTTTGCATAATGGCTGGCTTGACACAAAGTTACATCGCTCACAAACCCCTCGAGCTGGCAAACGAACACCCTCACGCACAGCAAGACGTTCACCTGGAAGTTCAATTAAATTGTTTAGAGATAATTAAACGAATGGAAAATTTATTAACATTAATTGCTTACACAGACAAAAAAAATGTTTTTTTAAAGTACAAATTAAAGACAGAACAAGTATATGATAATGGCTAGGGGGCAGATTTTAATGAAATGTCATTTCCCCCCCCCCTTTCACTTTAGAACAATGTTGTTTAGTATAGAAATTCATTTTATGTAATCAGAAAAGGAAACAATCCACTTTTAAACGCCATTTTTTTAAAAAACATTTTCCATTGATTTCAGCTAATAAATTTTTACCTTTTCTAGTCATTTTTACTGCATTTTTCGCTAATTAAATTGATTTTAATACCATTTTGATGGTACTTGCTCAAATAATATTTACGAGATGCAACAAATGTCTCCACAGAGTTCCTGAGCACCTACACCTAGTTGTCTATTCGACTTCTTTGCTCAGAAATTGTAATATCAGCTGTTGTGAATATTTAATCTAGAATCCCTGTGATGCACATCAGCTCCATTGTTGGTTCAGCTGATTTCTGGATAGAGTTGGAGATTTTGGTAAAGAACCAAAAGATTGCAAGCTGAGTTCACTTGAACAAATGGAAGAAGCCTCGATTACATTGGTAACACATCCACATTAAATAGTTCATTCAAAATGATTTAGATTCAATTTTTTTACATCATTTTTCTTTTCTTATAGAGCATTTTATTGATAATTTTCAGCAATGTTTTAGGTTATAAAAATATGCCCCCTAATAATGACAGTCAACACAAAATGGTAGAGAATACTTTTCCTTCAGGTATGACATATAAAGAGCTGTAGCGTAACGAAATGAGTGCCGACGCACATGCAAAAACAGGCGTACATTTACCCTTTATAGAAGTGTATAGCAAACATAAGAAGTGTAAGTACCTTAAATAATATAAATATCCTTTAAAAATAGGTCCTCTTTTACCTCGGCCCACCCACACTGCAGGCCTGAATGTTACTCCAATGATATAGTGATATGGGATAATACACTGTCATCATGAATGAATAAAAATTTACACGCAGTAAAGACATATTACTGACAATCAATGATATGATAAAATTGTTTCCCAGAATCCCTTTTCAAGTTAACACTATTTGGCAGAATTTTTAAATAACATTGTCATCAATAAAAATTAATACGTTGCATGAGAAATTAATTGATTCAATACACAAGGAAAAGTACACTAATCACCAAAGATCAGATTTTCATGCAGTAAAAACATCAAAATGTGCAAACACATGCAATAAAAAGATGAAGAATTTGCAAAATAGTGTTGTGTACCTTAAAACCCACCCGTTAATCCACTTATTTTTATATTTTGAATGAGATATTTGAGGTGAATGAAATTTTATAATTTTTGTGTTACTATAATTAAGTTTGTATATATTGTTTAAACAAACCGTAATTGACATTTTAAATATAATTTGCACACAAAATAAAATTAGTATAAAACACAAAAAGTAAATACAAAATCAGTTGTTTCCGGGCTTGAAGGCCGTGGTCCAAAGCTTGAAGGCCGTGGTTGTTTCGGGCTTGAAGGCCGTTTTGGACCACGGCCTTCAAGCCCGGAAACAACTGATTTTTATATGGAAACCGGCCGTGAAAGCCTACATTGAATGTTAGTAAATACAAAAATTGAAAAATGCAAATTTACCTTCAGAAATTAAAAATAATAAACTCACAGAATAAATGATCTTAATTGTTTTCATTACAATTTACAATTTCTTATATTTCCAAATTATTTTCTGAGAAATTATTATATCTTCTATCAACTAATATATGTTTCAAGTACGAAAAACTTCGGTCTACATCTAATTTATACTTATCTGCGTGCCGAGCCTCACTGACCTACGTGACCTCCCATTAAAAGCTGTCAAAGACAAATTGATTCTCTCTTGAATCTCCAAGGGTAACGTCTGTTCTGAGAAATTTGATGAATTTGAAATGCAGTGCAGCTTGTTGTTAAGCTTTGCGCCCAGACATAAGATCAAATGTGATTTCACGCATGCTGTCTCGTGTTTGAAAGAAGGGCAAATACTGACAAAATGGATATATGAACCAATTGAGAAGATGGAGCCTTACATAGCATATCCTGAGGGGCAGAAGCCAATAGCTGCAGACCTATCCCTGCTGCAATAAATTTTAATTATAAACTAGGTATCATGAAAGGTATACACGCTCAGTTAATAGGGCAACAAAATGAAGAACTGATACATCTTAAACAGCACTCTGGTTTCACAGACCAATGCCTAAATGCACTGCTGGGTTAAGGCAATTTTCAGGCAACATTACCTAAAACATGCAATATTGTGCAGTAATCCCCCAAAACATGCAATTTTGTGCAAAATAAAACTGGGTCCTAAAATAATGACCTTTTCATGATTCAAATTTCTGTCAAGGTTTCAGCTTATTCCAAGTTAGCAAAGAAAAGATACAGTAACACAGGAATCCAGTATTTACTAATTACAATACCTGAATGCAAGATGTCCATGATTGCTGATGGGCGAATCCTTTCCAGATCCTTTAAAAATGCCCGTGCATGACCTCTGTATGCATTTGGTGCATAAATACATTCTGTTGAGAAATAATGCAACCGCTTGAAATAGGCATACATAACAATCTCTTTCTCATAGGTGTATTTGAGAGGTTTGCACCGAGGAATGCTTCCTTCACCTGCCTGTGTCATTACAAAAACAGTGCAAAAATTGAATTAAGAGAGAAAGAAATACAAAATTCAACTTTCAAACACACACAAAATAGCATAATGAATTCAACCATCAAAGCTCACAGTAGTAATGGCAGTACATCTCTGCAGTCTCGCAATGTCTCCACGCAATACATTCATGAGTACTGTCTCAGCTATATCATCAGCATTGTGGCCTGTAACTACAATATCTGCTTTTAGTAAAGCAGCACCCCTGTCCAGGGCTTGACGTCGAAAGACACCACAGAATGTGCAATTGTTGCGACGACCAATCTGAAGCATAACACACCATTTTTTCTTCAATACAAGTTTGTGAATACACAGTCTCAAAATATTTTGAGAGTTGAACTTGAGATCACAAATACTGTTAAAAAATAAAATCTTTTAAACGGGGATCTGAAGAATATTATACTTCACTTCACCACTACAAACAATGTCACAGACACGTACATCTTTTTATGTTCAAACATATTTTATTAGGTATTATAGTTCCACATTTTTCTAACTTTTGTCACCTCTTCTGTGGAAAAAATATAAGAGAAAAGTAAAGGGCATTTGAATTTGAAATGCATCTTCATATCAAAATATTTACATTAAATTATTGCTTTCAAATAATATTTGGAAGTAAGACAACCATAATATATATGACATATTTAACCATTTTCTGGTGAATTAATAGTTCTTTTCCGTTACTCACCTGTTTAACAATGGCATCCATACTCCAACCATAAAGGGATTCATAAGAAAGTATTTTTAAAGGTATTCCATAATCTTCACGATTTTGTTTTACTGTATCTAAACTATCATCTCGATAACCTGAAAACGAAAAATAAATTAGCCGTTAATCTTGGTAAGTAATTCAATATGTAACAGATAATGTTCACACATCCTACCAGATATCCCTTCATCAATTGACAGGAGAACTAAATTCAGTCCATAGTTATGCCTATCATTGAGCAATTTGAGAACATAAGCAAGAACTGTAGAATCTTTTCCCCCAGATGCAGCAATTGCTGCTAGCTGTCCGGATTTAAAGAGATTTCCCTGAATAATAGTATTATGAACCTCATCTTCAAATGCAGAGAAAAAACACTCCTTGCAAAGTGCATCACCAGTCTTTGGTCTCTGTAAAATATTGTTTTATATATTAAAATATTGAGAAGTGTATTTCCGTAATTAAAACAAAAATCAATTAAAAATTAATAACATACTTTCAAAACGGCTCTTTGTCCACAGTTTCTGAAACACAGAGTTGGAGGCATTTGAAGAATAACCTAAGTCTTCAACAGATATACAAGATCATCAAAGTGCACAACGCTAGCTCTCCTGTTCAATTCACACACAAAAAACTCAAATTCTACCAATATCCTACAATGTCATAACCATAACTGGTCATAACCTCAACATACACCACATCGCACGCTGTCCGTGCCGTCACATGGTATATACCTAGAATATACTGTACAGAATGAGATGAGTGGTCTCTTGCGCATCATATCCTACTTCAACCAATGAACTTCGGGCACTAGTTTGAGACACAATATTAGCGGGAATTTTAAATCCAAAATTATCACCACATCATTTACAGACACAAGAAGCCCTTTATTTTCAAATATTACATATTTTATTTCAACTAAACCTTCATCATGTTAGTTTTGGTCTGTCAACGCTGACGATTGTCACTTTATTCCACTTTTAAAATGTTCTTCACAACTTTCTTCTAAAATACTTCTCGCTCTCTATGCAACGTGGCGGCCAGCGTCTGGTCTGGCTTTCCAAAAAAATGCCTGTGTTGTGGTTGCGTGGTTCCTAACGCAAACTGATCCTGAATAAAACGAGCGAAAATCGGTGCACCAGAAAACACCATCTCCTTCTACCATGGGCCGTCACAAGCACGGGATCTGCGATGATGGGCGATAGTATACCAGTTTCATGCTACGTTTGTTATTTACGATGATATTTACTTTCTTTGGTTTTTTTAGTTTCTAATTATGTATCTCTTTCTCCAATTTGCATTAATCATATATATATATATATATATATATATATATATATATATATATATATATATATATATATATATCCGTGCCGGCTATCTTTCAAGTCAGTTCATTTTTATTTACTTCAACTTCTGGGTCAATGATCCCCGTCTCAATCAAGTTTTTCGTTCAGTTTTTCTGATCCCTTGAGCAAATGCTGAGATGGCCCCCTTGTTTTGCTTCTGGACATAAATGTATAACTTCATTATCTGTGTACGTCTTCTAGACTTCAGACAGGAAAATTCAAATTATCGTTCTCCGTGTCCTGCATGCTCTCCACGTGGCAGATATATATTGCTCCACGAATGACATGAAGAATAAGAACCAAAATCTATAGCTAATTTGTCTTTGAAATTATATTTTATTACATTAGAGTGAATATTTTGCAAACAATTCTTGTCAAAACGCTAATTTATTTCTGTATTCAGAACTCAACTTGTATTTAGAGTAGGAATCACAGAGTACACTTATCACCGTTGCACGTCACACACAGTTTTCAACTGTTTTGATGTACAATAAATAAAAAAGAATAACCTAATGAGACTTCATACGGTGACTCCGTCTTCCGTCTTTTAAGACAAGCTGGTGTATATCTCGCATCGATATTCCCAATTTTCTGATGGGTATATGGCAAAGATAGCGAAATATTATCCGTTTGGTTTGCTTAGTTCTATTTCTATTTCATTCATCATACATAAATCAGCCATTGTGTGTTCCTCTCTCTTCGAAATCCGAATTGACAGGAAGGAATGTAAGTTCCTATTTCCTTTGTAATCTTAGTGCTACAATGCAGGAGAAAACCTTGATCACGTTGTTTTCTAGAGCAATTATTTTACACGAGTCGGCATTGTTTACGTCTCTTTAATCTCTATATACAATTTTTATTTTAGCATTTCTCCATCCATCAGGTACGTTTCCTGTGGTCAAACATTTATTGAATAGTTCTTTCCATATTGGCAGAGCCTACCGCGTTCCCATTTTTACTTTCCCATATACGTACGTATCAACGGAGTAACATACGTAGTATAGGGAAAGTTATGTAATGCTGCGGAAAATCGTCTTCGAAATTTCAACAGAAATACACGTTTTGGGCTCCCCAGATACCGAAAATGTGTGTATTTTTTCAAAATGCCCGGCTGTCCGTCCGTTCGACTTCGTCCGTCCGACTCTGTCCGTCTGTGAACACTACGAGCGCCTAAACCATGTGTAGGATTTTTCCATATTGAAGAAAACCCCTGTCCATCTGGCTCGAGTAGAAGCGTTGAGATTTTAAAAACATTCTTTAATATTTGGGGGTACTTTACATGAAACCGGACATTATCAAAATTTTTTCAAAATCGAAAATTAAAGATAAAGATTTTTCGATGAAATTAAATTAGTTGTCCATAATTAATTCTTTTATTAAGGTCAGTAAATGTTGTTGACAATTTTAGTAGTTTTCGTGCAATATTGCGTACAATATGTACAATTTAAAAAAATTACAAAAACAAGCTTTTCTTACAAATTGCTCTAAATTGTTTTCTTCAAACTTTGGGTAGGAATAATGAGAAATGTACTCTTTAAGATGACACCAGACTGTTCTATCCTTTTGTTTTGTCAAAAATTATAAAATGTATTTTTTTTACTTGTCTCTCATGTCGTTAATATCTGTATCAGCGGCAACTTCTTCACATTGTTGTATTCATGAGTACATGTGCTTTAAATAATGTAATACAAAGCTTATCGAAAACTAATCGTTATCTGTGAAAGCTAACTCAAAATTCCGCACTTCCAGAAACGCACAAACGCCATTTTCTCAAAAACGGCTCCAATTTTTTCTTCAAATTATTCGTAGGGACAGTGCAAATTACACTGTTTAATTGAGGTGCTGATAATGCTCATTACGGAGAATTTTTTGTTTTAAAAAAAATTACACAAATGTAATTTTGTTAAAAGATCTCTCACGTCGGACATATGCACATTTCCAGCAATTTGTAAACCTATTGTATTTGTGAGCTAATATGATTCAAATTACTTCAAAAGAAGTTTTTCGAAAACTCAAATATTTCCTGTGAAAAAGCGCTTAAAATTTCGAATTTACTGTAGCGCTTATGCGCCATTTTCTTAAAAACGGATCCAAATTTTTCACAGAAAATTGCTATTTAGGACTAAATTTTACGTTTTTTTGAAGTTTGTCCCTCATGTGGTCATGGACATCTCTTTTGCTTTGATCTTGTCTTTTCTTCCTCCACGAATGGGTTTGATTTTACCTCTTCCGCTAGTTTTTGTTTTTCATTTTAATGAAGACTGGTTTTCGGTATTTGATGAATGTTTTATATTCTTTCTTCTATTTTTTTGCGTACTCCTTCAGATCATATTTGTTTCCTTGTGTTCTGGCTTTGTGTAACATCTAGTGTCAGCTTCCTGAGTTTGCAGCATTCACTGGTAACCCAAGGCTGCGATTTTCTTAGTTTTAATTGGATGGTGGCATTTTGAATTATTTATTCCTTATGCTTTCGGGAGTTATTGTCTGTTGTGGAAAACTGCTGCTGCTACTACAAAGCGAATTGTGATAACATAAAAACGCTTCAGGGAATAGTGCAGGTCACATTTTCGTTAAAATCCTTTTTGTTGCCTTTAAATTTCTTTTCAAGTATGTAGTAAAGAACGGTAAAGAGTTATGCTGGTCCCATTTTCGGTACACTTTCTGTTTTTTCCGAAAATTGGGAAAAAATCGAAATTGTAAATGTTGGCAAAGTTAAATAATTAACGGAAAAGAAACACCGGACACACAGAAACTGACACTGTAGATGCGACAATAATAATTATAATAAACGTTTTATCTAGCTTTACTACTTTTTGGGGCAACTGCAACTGTTTCATTTGTTTCTAGACGTTAACTGTAGAGAGACTGATTATGGATTTGTTTGGTTGTAAGCATTAATTTAAAAGTTTCATTTATGGCAGGAATTCATAAGAAAATATGCGCCCATTGACAGATGCGTTGCTATGGTCAGAAATTGCGGTATAATATTACGAAATCGTTAATAAGGGCGAAAAAGTATGTGCTGTTTTTACGCTAGTTTTAATTTAGAATAATTGAGGGTGTCAGCGCAATAGTGGCCTATTCCCAGATCCTGTGTTTGGAGAAAATGGCTGATGAAGTTATTGGCAAAATTAAACACTCATTTGTAAGTGTTTTCATATTATGATATTATATAAGAATGACCACTGACTAAACATTTGTGGTGGATTACATCTTGTGTAAAACAGCATCGCCTATGCTTAGGTCACTATTGCACAAAGAAATGTAATCGTAAGCTGAGTGCAATAGTTCTTTTTGTAATTATAACTTGAAAACTATCGACGCGAACATGCTGAAACTGTTACACGTTGAAGTTAGGGAAATTAAGATGTGATTAGCACAGAGAACGCAATTTCCTAAAAATGTGGGATAGGCCACTATTGCGCTTCACCCTCATTTAATAGTAAGTCGGCAGAAAAAAATTAAAAACATGACTTTAAATGTAGAGGTGGAGGTGGGGGTGGGAGCTAAGACACCTTTCTCAAATCTTATTTTTAACTACTCATAATATGTCCATATGATTTTCTGGAACTTTGTACTGTCTTATCCGGGGGTAGTTTCTAAATTCACTCAGTGAGGAAACATATTTATGCTACGTGAAATATGACTATAACATTTGTTCTGTCGGAGCGCACAGAGCGTGCGACCGGCGAGGGGGGTGGGTGGGGGGAGGGATTGGTCCATTGGCGCCAGGCTGGCGGCAACCTCTCCGGCGGCCTCTCCGTGGTCTTGAAACGCGCGCGTCGCCTCGGAATGCACCAGCCCCAAAACACGTGACTCCTCGAGATGCAGGCTAGTGGAGGAAACTGCCAGGGGCATTCGAATCGATCTCTGTGCACACGCACTTTGTCACCTGATGGGGGGGATTGCAAGCCACGGCTTGCGAGATGTAGCTTTCGTCACGGGACATTAGGCTAGGGGCGGCGTCAGTATTGACACGCTAGGGCTCTCTGGATCAGACTGGGGCGGCTTGCCTCCACAAGGGGTTGGAGTCCTGCGAAAAAGTTTCTATAGGAGTGTATACACTGTGAAGTGAATGACTAAAAAGAAATCTGTACATAAAAAACTCCGTGTCTGTTATATTACGACGTCACAATATTTAGAAGTGACTTAGCAACGGAATTTTGTCAGGTTCATAGGGGGCGAAACCACTTGAAAAATTCGTATAAGAGAAAGTAAAGGGGGGGGGGTTACTCAGTGCCCCGCAGCTTACATGAAAGCCTGTACGTGAAGGTGCCGCTGACGGCGGGCGTGGGCCCACTCACCACCCGGCGGCCACGGTGACGGACGTGGTGCGCGCGGCGGGCGGGCGTGGGCGGTGCGCCTGGCGTTGCGGGGCCCTCGGCCAATGGCCCCACCCTACAACGCCGCCCCCTCGGTCGTAGCACTGCGCGGCGACTTTCGCACAGGCAGTCTGGCGGTTTTTTTTACTTTCTCGCTACCGCTAACGCGGTAGAGAGAAAGTTATGTAATGTTGCCCAAAAAACAGGGAATTTTCGTCAGAAAAAAAAATTACAGAGCCCTGACAACGAAAAAATGATAAATCCATATGCTAAATTTAGAAAACTAATCCTCAAACACGTGGTGTACCAATAATTCATGTTTTGTGGGTCCTTGTTTCTCGAAAAATCTATTGACGAAAAGTCTGTCCGTGAAGAATGCTGGCGGCTGAACCGTCCAGTCGATTTTCTCCAAAATTGATATTCCCCAACCAATA